AAAAGTCCTGGCCCAGACGGTTTCACCAGAGAATTCTACCAAACATTCAGAGAACTGACATCAATCCTACTCAAACTATTCCAAAACATAGAAAAGGATAGACTCCTCCCTAACTCATTTTGTGAAGCAAGCATAACCTTGAAACTAAAACCAGGCAAAGACATCAGTCAAAGGGAAAACTGCAAACCAGTATCCCTCATGAATATAAATGCAAAAATCTTCAACAAAATCCTAGCTAATAGACTCCAAAAACATACCAAGAAAATCATTCATTATGACCAAGTGGGGTTCATATCAGGTATGCAAGGATGGTACAACATTAGAAAAATAATCAATGTCCTCTACCATGTTAATAAAACAAACAGATAGAACCACATTATCATATCAATTGATGCAGAAAAGGCATTTGATAAGATCAAAACTCTCAGCAAAATAGGAATAGAAGGGACATTCCTCAACATAATAAAAGGCATCTATGCAAAACCAACAGCCAACATCATTCTTAATGGAGAGAGACTGAAACCATTCCCCTTGTGAACAGGAACCAGACAAGGGTGCCCTCTATCACCACTTCTGTTCAACATTGTACTGGAAGTCCTACCCAGGGCCATAAGGCAGGAAAGGGAAATCAAAGGCATCCAAATTGGTAAGGAAGAAGTCAGACTATCCCTATTTGCTAATGATATGATCCTATACCTAGAAAACCCAAGAGACTCAGTCAAAAATATATTGGAACTAATTGAGAGATTTAGCATCATGGCAGGATATAAGATCAACATCCAAAAATAAGTTGGATTCCTCTACACCAGCAAAGAGTTTGCTGAAAAAGAAATTAAGGAAATCAATACCATTTACGATAGCTACCAAAAAAATAAAATACCTGGGAATAAATCTTAACCAGGGACACAGAGACCTATAGAAAGAAAACTGTAAAAAACTACTTCAAGAAACTGTAATAGATCTACATAAATGGAAGAACATACCATGCTCATGGATTGAACGTTGTGAGAATGTCATTTCTATCCAAAGCAATGTATGCATTCAGTGCAATCCCAATCCAGATCCCATCAACATTTTTAAGGATGTGGAAAAACCAATCACTAATTTTATATGGAAAGGAAACAGACCCTGGATAAGCAAAGCACTGTTGAAGAAGAAGAACAAAGTAGGAGATCTCACACTGCCACATCTCAAAACTTACTATATAGCCACAGTAGTCAAAACTGCCTGGTATTGGTACAGAGACAGAGAGACGAATGGGATAGAACTGTTGTTGTCATGTGCCATCAAGTCAGACCCAACTCATAGCGACCCCTCCTTGGGTTGCCAAGGCAGTATCACCACGGAAGTGGATTGCCCAACCTTCCAAGGAGTGGCTGGTGGAATAGAATTGAGAACCCAGAAGTAGATTGATCAACCTGTGTTAACTGATCTTTGACAAAGGGCCTAAATCTATTAAATGGGGACGAGAAGGTTTGTTTAATAAATGGTGCTGGCAAAACTGGGTATCCATTTGCAGAAAAGTGAAACAAGATCTGTACCTCACACCATACACAAAAACTACCTCCAGATGGATCAAAGACTTAAATGGGAAACTAAAACTATGAGTTCCTCAAGGAAAAAAAGGGCAAATTTAGGGGCCCTAATATATGGCATGAGAGCTCTGGTAGCATAGTGCCTAAGGTACTTGTCTGCTAACCAGGAGGCTGGTGGTTCAAATCCATCAGCCACTCCTTGGAAGGAAGGTTGGGCAATCTACTTTTGTAGTGATACTGCCTCGGCAACCCAAGGAGGAGTCACAATGAGTCGGGTCCAACTTGACGGCACATAACAACAATATATGACATAAATAGACTATCAAGCATAACCCAAAATACAGAAACCACAGAAGAGCAGCAACTAGATGAATGGGACTTTCTAAAAATTAAATTTTTATGTGCTTCATAAGACTTCTCCAAAAGAGTCAAAAGAGAACCTACAGATTGGGAAAGAATATTTGGCAATGACATATCTGACAAGGGACTTCTCTCTAGAATTTATAGAAAACTCCAACACCTCAATAACAAAAAGACAAATAATCCAATTAAAAAATGGACAGAAGACATGAATAGGTACTTCACCAAGGAGGATATTCAGGCGGCCAGCAAACATATGGAGAAATGTTCACGATCATTAGCCACTAGAGAGATGCAAATCAAAACAGCAATGAGATACCATCCTGCCCCAGTACGAGCAGCAAAGTTCAACAAGACAGAAAATAACAAATGTTGGTGAGGATGCAGAAAGATTGGGACTTTCATACACTACTAGTGAGACTGTGATATGGTACAACCACTGTGGTAAGCAGTATAGCGGTTCCTCATAAAGTTGGAAATAGACATACCATTTGACCCAGCCATTCCATTACTAGGTATATATCCTAAAGAAGTGAGAGCCATGACAAGAATAGACATATGCACACATTCATTGCAGCACTATTTACAATAGCCAAAAGTTGGAAACAACCTAGGTGTCCATCAATTGAGGAATGGATAACCAAACTATGATACATACACATGATGGAATACTGTGCCACTCTAAAGCATAATGTAGAATCTGCAAAACATCACATAACATGGATGAACTTGGAGGACATCATGCTGAGCAAAATAAGTCAGTCACAGAAGGACAAATACTGTATTACTCCGTTATTGTAAAAATCAAGGAAAGCTTTATCTATGGAAGGAAGTTTCTTCGTTGGTTACCAGGGGTGAGAGGGGAGGGGAGGGAACACTGTTAGATAGGTAGGGGTAAGTATTGATTTGGATGAAGAGAAGGGCAGTGTACCAAATATGAGTGATCAACATGGTGGCATTGAGCAAGAGGAAGACAGAGAGAGGTGCATGGGAGGTGCAGACAACAAAGATGAACCCTGTTGCACATACAGTACTGCATTGTCAGTGAAGGCAAACACGGGTATACTGGTGGATAGATGGGTGGACAAGCTGAATTCTTAAGGTATGTCTATGCAGCAGGGAGTGTACCCAAGACCATGTATAGGGCTGGCAGACAGTGGTTCTACAAGTGTCTTTGTATGTTCTGTAAGAATTCCCAGGGGTACAGTAGAGCTGACAAGGCACAAGATTATATTCACTTCTTGGTCACAGCCAGCTAAACAGAGGGTCCAAGTAGTTGAACCTGTGGGCTCGGGACCATAGTCACAAGGGTCATCAAGCTTAATTGGCTTAACATACTACACAGAACATTGTTCCACCTCCTACTTTGGCGAGTAGCAACTGGGATCTTAAAAGCTTGCAAACAGCCATCTAGATGCAACAATGGGTCTCTCCTCGTCCAGAGCAAAGAAGAATGAAGAAAACCAAAGATTCATGGAAACAATTAGTCCTAGTGACTGGTACACCATGCAATCTGCAGCCTATAGAGCTATGAGACCAGAAGAACTAGATGGTGCCCGGCTACCACTGTCAACAACCACTCGGAGGTCGGCTCTATTATGTAGGAGATTGGATAGAGAGGGAGAACAATGTGGAACAAAACACAAAATCATTTGGGAGAAAAGGTGGGGGGGACCAGGTTTGATGGTCTGATAGAGCTTGGTGGAACCCCTGAGACTACGGCCCCTAGCTGTCCTTCAGGTCTGGAATTGAACCCATACCTCTGGCTTCCAACCAAACAATAGACAGGCATATGAGTTGAACATTTACCTCAGGTAGATACACTCCTTGTGTGTGAGAGAAATAGGGCTGTTTATATACAGGGAGACAGCTCAGGGGGAAGGAGTGCATGGAGGGATGGACAGAGGGAAGTGGTAACTATCGGGAGGAAGTGGGAAGGGGGCTGTTATATTGGAGTAAATTGTAGTTAGTGTCATGAGACAACGTGTGTGAACTGCTGTATGGAAAGTGAATTTGCTCTGTAAACTTTCAAGTTAAAAAAAAAAAAAAACTTGAATATTCCTACCAGCATTATTCACAACTGCCAAAAAGTAGAAAAAACCCAAATGTCTGTCAGCTGAAGAATGGATAAACAAAATATGGTATATTTTCTATATGTTGGAATATTATTCAGCCATAAAAAGGAATGAAATATTGATGTATTCTGTGACATGGATGTTGTTGTTGTTGTTATGTGCCGTCGAGTCGGCCCCGACTCATAGCGACCCCTCCTTGGGTTTCCGAGGCAGTATCACTACGGAAGTAGGATTGCCCAACCTTCTCTCCGATGAGTGGCTGGTGGGTTTGAACCGCCAGCCATCTGGTTAGCAGGCAAGTGTCTTAGCCACTATGCTACCAGAGCTCCTGTGACATGGATATATACCATATATACCTTAAAAGCATTATTCTGAGTGTAGAAGGCCAGTTACAAAAGACCATGTATTGTATGATTCAGTTTATATTAAACATTCATAATAGGTAAATCCATGAGACAAAAAGTAGATTAGCATTTACAAGGATGTTGGGGAAGTGGGGAGTGAATGTCTAGAATGATGAATATACTACAAACCATCATTGTGCATTTTTTGAAAAAGAAACTGCCAATTTTGGAAAAAGGAAAGTAACTTCTACTTTTTTGGTTCTCAGATTTCTCAAGACTACTAAGAAGAAATACTATTCTGATACTCAAGTTCTTTAACATATTTTAGGTGGCTTTTGTTTTAAGTTTGAAAAATGAATTGCTGAAATATTGATATGTGTGTGTGTGTTTAATTCTTTGTTCAACTAGGAAAAACTCATTGTATCCAATGAACAGGAAGTTCTCCGAGTTCATTACAGAGCTGCAAGAACATTGGCAAATCAAACACTGCCATTTAGTGCTTGTACTGTTCTGCTGGATGCAGAAGTATATAATGTTCCACTGGACTCTCAGGTAAAATATTCACTGGAACATTTAGAATGCTCTCAGTGACATCTTGGTTACTTTTTTTTATCTGTTTCCATAGAAGCCATTTGAATTTAACAATTATCAAAGCTTAAAGGAGAAAACAAGTCTTTCAGATCACAGTACTATTTCTGGATCAGTTGATCTTCTATTTTCTAAAGTCCTCTAACCATTAGATTTGTATTATAAAATCAGATAATCAGAAAACAGGTGTTTAGGATAGTGCTCTTACACAGAACTTTCATGTATCTTATGTATTACTTTCAATTTGTATCTAAAGTGGCTTTTTATACATTTAGTTCTTGGTAGCTTGCCTCTTACTATGGAATGTTGACTCTGCATTGAGGAAACAGTACAAACAGGTAGAACCTCTAAGTTGTAACACTGCTAAAATAATGCCTAGCTTTTGTTTTGAACTTAAATATTGGCAGAATAAATTAATATAATTCCTTCCTCCCAAAACTCATTGAAATGATTAAAAAAAAAAACTTGAATATAGTCTATATTAATTCCAACATTAAAATTAATATAATTGTGAAAAATTGTATCCGTGTCTTTAATATAAAATACAAATTATAAGCACAGGTATCAAATGATTATCACAAAAAAGACCAGGAAATACTATTTTAAAGAAGGCAAATTAGTAATAAAAAGAGTATCATAGTCAGTCACTTTATCTACTCTGGGCTTTATTTTCTTATCTGGAAGAAGAAGAGATTGAACTTGATCAGTGATTTTCCAACTTTCTTAAGATAACAAATGTTTTATTCAAATGAAACTGTTGGGAGATAGCTGAATAAGCTATTAAAATGAAAAATTGGATCTTAATGTATTTGACTCTAAGGAAGTAAACACGGGGAAAACCACTAAGGCAGTTTCCAGAATTTCCATCTTTAACACTTTTACAAGGAAGAATGGATGGTTTAATAATGGAAATTTTCAGTTTAACCATGTTGATAAAAGGCTGCACTAGACCATGTGGTATCTTGAGATCTTTTAAAGTTTTATGCTATTATAGAGTAATTAAATCAATTTTATAAAAATAAAATAGAGGTTTATAATCGAGATACAAGGAAAGGTCTATTGAAGATTTCTAGTTCAGAATGGTTGAGTAAACAAGTGAATACACCTGTTTACTTTTCCTTCCTCCCAAAACTCATTGAAATGATTAAAAAAAAAAAACTTGAATATAGTCTATATTAATTCCAACATTAAAATTCCAATTTTTAAGAGTCAGTGTAGACTTTTCTTTCAGCAATCTAAAGGATTGGTCCTAGAAAAAAATGTCAGGGTCTCCACCTCAATACTTCTCCCTATATATGGTAAAGAATCTTTTAAAATTATATTTCTATCATTCTTATAAAAATGCCATATACTGTAAAAAAAAAATGATATGACACCTAGATTTCTAAGTAGGTTAATGGTATTTTATAACATTCAACTACTTTTAATGTTCTCTTTCAGTCTGACGACAGTAAAACTTCTGTGAGGGATCGTTTTAATGCAAGGCAGTTCATGTCTTGGTTACAAGATGTGGATGATAAATTTGACAAATTAAAGGTATGTATGTTGAGAAGTTCAGTTTAAATGAATGTTTCTCCCTTCACAAACAACAGAAATTGCAGCTATGTTAGAATAATAAAAGAAGGAAACATTGGTTAGTCATAAATTCTCGTGCCTGACCACAATTGGAAGTATACCGGGAAGTGAATACCACAAGTCCATGTGTAAGGACCAATAGAGTTCAGAAGATTAAAATGCCACAGAAAAACCCATTTATAATTTGCATTTACATGTTTACTGTCGAGTTCACATGTCTGGTTATAGTTCTAAATATGAAAGAATGGTAAGAAAGTAATGTATTTTGCAAATCTATAAAATTATTTTTATATCATTTTCCTTATTTTCATAATTCCTTTGATAATTTGAAATCTTATCATTTGAAAGACCATTTTAAAATTATAATTGTAAGATAAATGTGAAGTTGCAGACCCAGAAATACTCCACATGTGGGTATGGACAGGATAAGATAGGAAATGGGCATGTAATTCATAAACTCTTTATATTCCTAATGTGCCCATCTTAGTTCCTAAAGAAACTATTGATTAGATTAATTTTTAAACGAAGCAAATTTAACAGAATCATCAATTAATTCTTCTCTTCTTTTAAATAGACCTGCCTTTTAATGAGGCAACAACATGAAGCTGCAGCCTTAAATGCTGTCCAGAGATTAGAATGGCAGCTCAAACTCCAGGAACTTGATCCTGCTACCTACAAATCCATCAGCATTTATGAAATCCAGGAGTTTTATGTTCCCCTTGTTGATGTCAATGATGACTTTGAATTGACTCCTATATAACAGCCATTACTTCTGGTGATATATTCTTAAACTGATGAGGCTTGAACATTAATCTGTGGAATACTGCCTTTTTACAGAAATGATGATAATATGCCTTTACACTTGTTAGTAAAGTTCAATTTAAGTTGGTTATGTAGTAAACACTGTCATTTTATTAAAAAATGAAGAGGATTATTTTGGATCTTAGATCTAAACACAGTTCTAACTGAAAACTATTATTTATATTAACGAAAGGTAACTGTTGTATTAGGGCATGTTGGCCAACTGTGGTGGATATTTAAAAAATTGAGACTGCTAACAGCGCTGGAAGTTGTTAGCAATCTAATTAATGAGATAACCACTAGTATTCAAATCTTTTTCAGGTTTTATTAAAAATATATCAGTAAGCTAAAAGGTTCAGTACCTACCAAATAGTTTCTAATGTGGAGGGAAAATTTGGCACAAAGGTTCTTCAGTTTATTATACATGTAAATTAACTGTACAGTATTCTTTTTGGAAGTTTTAATATTATCCTCGTTTTTAATAACTTATTTTATATATATTGTGCAGATGTAAATCTTGTAATTAATGGTCAAAATGTATACGACGGGATCGGTGGTAAAAACATGTACAAAAGAATAATTGTAAAACTGTTTTGTCTAATGTTCTTTTGGACCAAAGTTGTAGTTTGTATGGTGTGCAGAAGTAGTGTGTTCAGGTAGCAGAACTTTAATAAGGCATGCATGTGTTTGAGTTAGCTTGTTTCATCACTGTAAGTGTAAAGATTGTGACTTAGTTGTATTGCATGCTTCTATAATTTAACTCCATAATTGATGCCTAAAACAGTGTCACGTGCTTCATACTAGTCTCCTGTGATAGTGCCTATGACTTACTGTGTTAAACATATTATTTAGAATTAGTCATACAAAAAAACTTAGCTCTTTTTTCATCTCACAGTAGAGCCTATTTCCCCCAAAAAATGCCTTTGAATGAAAATTCTGAAATTGTAAATGTCTATTTTAATACTCAACTATGAAAGAATCTGTGACTATATGTAAATATGTCTAATAAATTTTATTGTCATGTTAAATCATTGTAAAACTTTTTTATATTTCTTAAATGTAATGTTTGAAGCTTAATAACCTTTGCACTTTTGAAGTAAAAACTGAGTACTCAAATCAAGAAAGAGATATATTTGGTAGTTGAAATAAGTAAAAGAGATTTAGGTATATCTTAATCGATATCAGCAGTGTTTGTGAAATATTGATTAATATGTTGTATTTTTTTCCTTGTATCAAGATGCAAAATGTACAATTTGCAGAATTTTATAATTTAAATAAAATTTGATATGCTGTTTTGTAATGAAATAATTAGCAATATACTTAGGAAAAGCCCATTGTCTCTTATAACATGATAGAAGTTAAATATCCAGGATTATTTCAGATCTGAAACCTGCTGCTGAACTTGTTAAACACTTTTGAAAGAAAAATTAGTGTAAAATTAATCCATGATTATTTGAGATTAAAGCTACATAATTTTCCACAATAGTTTCTTGAATTATAATACTGAATGTTTTTTATTCTATTAGAGAAAAGTGAAAAGAATATATGAGAAATGAAATGATTTAAACTCAGCTTCCAAGTTGGAAATTCCAGCTAATAGGAGAAAATGTAAAATTGAAGTTTTTGAGTGCAAAGGTACATATTAAGCTTAGGGATTTTTGAATTTTCATGTCAATTTATATTTTAATTCATATTGTACTTAGCATGCGCAATATAGCAGCACATGTAAAAATTACACGGTGCAATGACTTTATTTTAAAGATTGGATGTAGTTCTCTTTAAAAATCTAAGTGAGCGACTTTGGCCTTTTTTATTGGATAAAATAGGGCCAAAAAGAGGCAGGGTGGATTTTGAAGCACTGGTTTTGTTGAAGTTAAGTTTATTAAGACTGGGAATATTGAAAGCTAATTTATAAAAGCAATACTTTTTAATATGAAAAACTTACTACAAATTTTGTTTATTTTTTTGCCTGAAAAGGAAATTTGATGGGATACTATGGCAAATCATAAAAATGAAAAATTAAGCTTATTGAGCATTAAAGTAATAGAAAATACCAGAGGGGTAAGTTTATAGAGCATTTGGTTCTGATGGTCCAACCAGAGAAGAAGGGAGGGGGAAAAAAAATCACTGTTTGACCCCATAGAACAAGCTAGAGAAAAGCAAATGAGAAGGAATCTGGCATATTTTAATCAAACTGCTTTTTACCTTTTTAACAATTCTCAGCCTCTTCATTTGTACTTCAAAGAGCTAGATCCTCTCTGCCATGATTCTGCCTTCTTCAAATTTTGCTTTATGAAAGGACTGGAAGCTAATCGGCATAGCTTAAAAGAAAATTTAATGCTTCCTCTTTGGGAACTTTATAGTCAACTAAGTAGCTAAGGGCTTTTGGTATTAAAGATACCCTGAAGCTCTGAAATCCTAGAAAAATTTTGGAATGGAGGATATGCCTAAGAGGGTTTTGGATTCTGAAAGAAAAATAATGTTTAATTTGATCAGTGACTTTTTTTTTTAACTATTCAAATATCATGAACAAGATACTAAATTGTACTTAAGGATTTGTATTTCTTTAAATCTTGTTCTAAATCATATCTGTTTAATAAATGACTAGTTGATATTTGTGCATGTTATTTAATAAAGAGTTATATTTTTATAGAAAAAATAAGATTGAAATGTGTGCTATTTCCTTTTTTAATTTAATTGTCCACTACCATATGACTAGAACCAAACACACCTGTTTACTTATACACCTAGCAAAATTGCAGAAATATTTGTTCTAGGAAAATAAACAGCCTCTGAAGAATTAGCCTTTCAAGCTAAAATCCATTCAGTAATAAGGCATCTCACAGGTGAAATTTAAGTACAGTGTTGTTGTGAGATGCTGTCAAGTCTTCTCTGACTCATAGCGACCCTATGCAAAACAGAACAAAATATTGCCCAGTACTTATCTGTCAATTTGTCGTAGCATAGTGGCTTGCGTGTTGCTATGAGGCTGGAGGCTATGCCACTGGTCTTTGAAATACCAGCTGGGTGGACAGGTTTTAGTGGAGCTTCCAAACTAAAACAGACTGGGAAGAAAATTGGGGCCATCCACTTCTGAAAAAATTGGCCACTGAAAACCTTATGAATAACAGTGAAATGCTTTCTGTTACATTGTTGTTGTTGTTGTTGTTGTTATATTCTGTTATATTAAGTTCAGTAAAGCCTGTGAAATTCAGAACCTATGTACAGAAACCTGTCAGAAGAAAAACTCAAATATTTTCTGCTAAAACAAGCAATATAAAAGAGGAAAGACTTCACCCTGTCAAAGGCAGAAAACTTTTAAGTCCTGAGTTCCAGCTCACAGGTATTACTGTATTAGATATCCTTAAAAACTTCATAACTCTTAATCTCAAGCAAAGACCCCAACAAAGCACATTTCATTGTGACTTAAGAATTAACAATTATTCTAGAAATTGAATTCAGAGAATGCTAAATAGGTGTTTTTCTTAGCTATCCAAAATTTAGCAATATTTTGTATTCTATCTCTGATAGCCTAACACATGAAAACCCAAATATTTATAAATAAAAAACAATCGCCTAACATGGAGAATTTTCTTTTAAGCCTCTACAGAAGTAGTTACTGAAAATATTTCTAGTCAGTAAAAAAAAAAAAAAAAAAGATTAAGAAACTCTTTTAGGCTGGGTTCTCTAGAGAAGCAAAACCAATAAAGCTTATACATACATATGTTGTTGTTATTTTGTGCCATCCAGTCAGACCCAACTCATAATCACCCCTCCTTGGGTTTCCGAGGCGGTATCACTACGGAAGTAGATTGTCCAGCCTTCCTTCCAAGGAGTGGCTATTGGGTTTTACCGCCAGCCTTCTGGTTAGCAGTCATATAGTTGTTAAGTGCAGTGGAGTCAGACCTGACTCATAGCAACCCCTCCATGAATGAATAAGGAAGACCAAAGAAGATTTGATACTTTTGAGTTGTGGTGTTGGGGAAGAATACTGAAAAGTATCATGCACTGCTAAAAGAACTAACAAAACTATACTGGAAGAAGTACAGCTGGAATGCTTCTTGGAAGCGAGAATGGCCAAACTTAGTCTCACCTACTTTGGTCGTGTTGTCAGAAGGAACCATTCCCTGGAGAAGGATATCGTGCTTGGTAAAGTGGAGGGTCAGTAAAAAAGGGGAAGTCCCTCAACGAGATGGAGTGACACAGTGGCTGCAACGATGGGCTCAGGTATAGCAAGGATTGTGAGGCTGGTGCAGGACTGGGCAGTGTTGCAGGGCTGGGCAGTGTTTCGTTCTGGTGTACATAGGGTCGCTGTGAGTTGGAGCATCTAACAACAACATAAATTGTTGTGCCTGCTCTTGAACTGCATATAAATGAAATCACAACATATACTCTTCTGTGTCTGCTTTTTTTCTCAACATAAAATACTTAAATTTATCCATGTTGTTTTATATACCAGTAATTTGTTCCTTTTTATTTACAAGTGGTAGAATATTGTATGAATTTGTTTATATTATCAGTAGATGCTTGGATTGTTTCCAGCTTGGGGATACTGTGAGCAAAGCTGCTGTGAACATGCAACTCTTTTTTTTTTTTTTTTTTTTTAATTGTGATTTGGGTGAAAGTTTACAGAGCAAATTCATTTTCCATACAGCAGTTCATACACATTTTGTTTCATGATATTAACAGCAATTTCCTACAATGTTACAGCTCTCTTCCTACTTCCTCCTTGTGGTTATCTCTTCCCTGTGTCCTTTCCTGTGCATTCCTGCCCCTTGAGCTATCTCCCTCTGCAAATACTGCCATTCTGTTCTCCCATGATTGATCACTTTAAGGAGTGATCTAACCTGATGTAAATGTTTACCCTATATGCCTGTCTGTTGTTTGGCTGGAAGCCACAGGAGGGAGTTCAATTCCAGACATGAAGGGTAATTAGGGGCCATAGTCTCAGAGGTCTTCAAGTCTGTATCAGACCAGTAAACCTGGTCTTTTTTATGATTTTGAGTTTTGTGTGAACAAGTAACTCTCTTTTGTGGACTTAATTTACTTCCCTTGGGTATATACCTTGAAGTGCAATCACTGAGAGTAGGTGTCTGTTTATTAGAAACTTGACAGTTTCCCAAAGTGTTTCCATCATTTTATACCCCACCAGCAATCTATGAGAGGCCCAGTTGCTCTGAGTTCTCATCAACATTTGATATTGTCAGTCTTCGATTTTTTAACCTATTCTGGTAAGTGTGTTGTAAAATTTTTTTAAAAAAACCTGCCATTGAGTCAATTCTGATGCATAGCAACCCCCACTGGGTTTCCATTCAGCAGTTCATAGACATTTTGTTTCATGATATTGACTGCAATTTCCTACAATGTAACAGCTCTCTTCCCTCTTTCTTCCTGTGGTTACCTCTTCCCTGTTTCCTTTCCTATACATTCCTGCTCCTTGAGCTATCTCCCTAAGGCTGTAAATCTTTACTGAAGTAGATTGCTCCATCTTCCATGGACTAGCTGGTGGGTTTGAACTCTCAACCTTCTGGTTAGCAGTCAAATACCTTAGCCGCTGTACCACCAGCATTCCTTAAGTGTGTAGTAGGAACTACACACTTTATGCAAAAGTGCAATCTATATAAGGTGGAAACTCATAGGAGATGGAAAATTCAAGTTTTTTCCACTAATAGCTATAGAAAAATGGTAAGACTTCACCCTGTCAAAGGTAGGATAAACAAGGCAATCCCTTTGAGTTCCAGCTCTCACAGGTTTCACTATATCTTAATTTATATTTCTCTGATGACTAATGAGAGTGAGAATATCTTTTCATAGCTTGTTAGCCACTTGTATATTTTACTTTATGAAATATCCTCAAGTATTTTGCTCAATTTGTATTAGATCATGTTATTGATATTCAGGAATTTTTAATACATTCTGCATATGTGTGCCCTTTGTAAGATAAATTTGTCATGAATGTTTGTTTCCCAGTCTGTAGCTTGTCTTTGTATTTTACATCACTTTTTGCTACTACTTTAAACTGATACATTTTTCTCTGGGTGTAAGTGGTTATCTTAAAAGACTCTTCCCTGCCCCCTGCCCTTTTTTTTCCTTTAATCACTATCAACCATGAGGCCCAGAGGCATACAATCATAGCTTTTAGATGCATCCTTTTATCAATTTCAAAACCATTAATATTTGAATGTAAGAAGTTTTTAAAACCCTTTACAGAATTATTCTATTCTATTCTTGACACCATTTTCATATTACTGGCTAGATTCTAGAACTACTCTTTATGTAGTTCCTACTACTGCTTGTTTGTTATTTAATCAGGGTGTGGATGACCGTGAGAAAACATGGGTATCATAGATGGACTTACATGAATGATCTGAGCAAGGTCCTGTGGGCCTAGTTTCCAGCTCATCTGTTAATTCATACTGTCCATGACTTCACCCAAGGAACAGCTATTGAGTACACAAGGTGTGCCAGGAGCTATGCCCCTTGAGGATTTATAGAGCATTTTCCTATGTTGAAGTTCTCAAACTTTTTGTCACAAGACTTCTTTGTACTCTTAAAAGTATTTTGACAGGGATAATGGTTGTACAATTAAAAGGATGTAGTCAGTATCACTGAATTTTACAAGTAGAAATTGTTGAACTGGCAAATGTTTTGGTGTGTATATTTTCACTACAATAAAAAAAATACTTAGAGCTTCTGCTCATGTGTGTTATTCTGTTTACATTTACCATGTTAGAAGTTAAAACAATTTTTAAAAAGAGTAAGATCCATTGTGTGTTCATTCTTACGAGAATATTTTTACAAAAATAAAAATTTGAAAACAGCATTACTTTGCATTTTTAAAAATCACTTTAATGTCTGGCCTAGTAGAAAATAGCTATAACGTATCTGCTTTTATGTTCAGAGTGTTGTGATCTTTTTTTTTTTTTTTTTTGGTTAAAGAAAATCTGGCCAATTACAAATGTAAATTAGGAAAGGGGGGAAATACTTTAATAGCCTTTTCAGATAGCTGTGAATATTCTTTGATTGCATGTCAAAACATGACAGGTGGTAGTTTGTAAATGGTTAGTTGCACTGTGGAATCTGAAACCATATCAATTAACTTTTCCTAACTAAAACCCATTGATCTGTCTTGCACGTTGAGTGAATCTTTCCTCTGTGCTTGACTTTGTAACGACACGCATGGTTCTGTTGTGCATGTCAATCAATTGCTCATACCTTTTATTATCCAGTATAAAAAATTGCATATTTTAAAAATATCACTGTTGTTATCATTATGTGCCGTCAAGTCGGACCCAACTCAGCAACCCCTGCTTGGGTTTCCGAGGCAGTATCACTACAGAAGTAGATTGCCCCACCTTCCTTCCGAGGAGTGGCTGGTGGGTTTGAACCTCCAGCCTTCTGGTTAGCAGTCAAGTGCCTTAGGCACTATGCTACCAGAGTTCCTATAAACTATCTTTAATTCTTACGAGGTTGTTGGTGGTGCAGTGCTTAAGGCATTCAGTTGCTAACCAGAAGGACAACAGTTCAAACCTACCAGCCCTTCCACAGGAGAAAGACATCTGCTTCTGTCAAGATTTAGAGCCTACAAACCATATGGAGCAGTTCTACTCTGTCCTATAGGGTCACTATGACTTGGAATTGACTCACTGGTAG